CGTGAGGCCGCTCCCCAGCTTGCTACAGGTGAAGGCGATGTCCGGCCTCGTCGTCGTCGCCGCGAAGTGCAACGAGCTGACCTTCTGCCGGTACTCCTCCTCCTGTCGCTCCTGTGCCTCCTCGTCGTCGAAGGTGAGCTCGGCGTAGGCGTCAACCGAGACCGGCATCTTAGGGGTGCGCCCGGTCTGCTCCTCGTCGAGGAAGCACCTACGCAGCTTGTCAGCATAGCCCTGCTGGTGCAGCCACAGCTTCCCCGCCGACCTGTCGCGAACGATCTCCAGCCCGAGGTACTTATGCACCGGCGAGATCTCACATAGCTCGAAGGCGGACTCCAGCAGCTTCTTCAGGTCCTTCACCAACTCGGTGCTGCTGCTGGCGGCGAGCAGGTCGTCGACGTAGACCAGTACCCAGGAGGCCACTCCGTTGTCGCCGACCTTGAAGTACAGAGCCTCGTCGACCTGGCTCTTCTTCCATCCGGCGCCGACCAGCACGTCGTTGAGCGCCAAGTACCACAGCAACGTCGACTGCTTCAGCCCGTACAGGCTCTTCAGCAGCTTGCAGACCTGGCCGGTTCCGTCGTTGAAGTAGTCCGGCTGGGACATGTACAGCACCCGGTCGAGCTTGCTCTGCAGGAAGGCGTTCTTCATGTTGAGCTGCATCAGGTTGAGGTTGAGGACGGCGACGATGCTGAGGAAGATCCTCAGGGTGACGTAGCTGCACACCGGCGCGAACGTCTCGTCGTAGTCGGCGCCGTACACCTGCGTGAAGCCCTTAACGACCAGCCTCGACTTCTCGCGCTCGACGGTGTCGTCGGCGTGGTACTTGGTCATCAACACCCAGAGGTTCTTCATGACGTTCTCCCCCGGCGGGCGTTCGACCAGCTCCCATGTGCCCATGTTGATGAGGCTGCGAATCTCCTCCTCCATGGCGGCCTTCACCGCCGGGCCCTTCCAGCTCGCCAACGCCTCCTTCACCGTCATCGTTGAGATGTCCCAACGGTGCTCAGGGTCGGCCAGCATGTCAGGGTCGAGCTCCGAAAACTCCTCATCCTCCTCGGCGTCGTCGTACAGCCGGTCGTCGTCATCGTCCACGTCCTACACCGTGGTGAAGGCAACAGGGACGAAGAAGTCGGGTGGCCTCCGAAGTCTGCCCGACTTCCGGGGTTCAGGCCGAACCTCCACCACGTCACTCTTGGTGGACTCCCTGGCGTCCCCTCCTTCGTCACCGTCTGCACTGCCCTCATCTTCCTGCTGCACCTCGGTCGACTTCCTGGTCGGCCTCTCCCCTGTGGTCGGCTCCCCTGCCGACTGCCCGGTTGCCGACTGCTCCGTGGTCGGCGTCACTCCTGCCTGCTCCCCTGTCGGTTGCTGCACTGCTGGTGCCGTCTTTGCCGGATTCATCCAAGTCGGCTGCTCCTCCTCGACCTGCTCTTCCCCAACGTCGACTCGCCACTCGTCACGTCGGCCACCGGCGATGCCCTTGGCCGGCGCCGAAGGCAACGTCCCACTACTCCCCTCATCGCCGGAGGCCGACAAAGGAGTCAGCCCGTGCGGGTCGGCCACGAGGGGAGGGGCAGGGGTCGTAGGGGAAGGGGAAGGAGGACGGACGACCTCGGCGTCCGCAGCAGCAAGCTCACCAACCTCGGCGAGCAGAGGCAGCGTCATATCCTCGTAGAACACCACGTCCGACGTGGTGACCACCCGGTTGGCGTCGATGTCGAGGAGCTCCCAGCCCTTGCTCTCCCCCGACACGCCAAGGTGAAGGCCCCACCTGGCTTTTGGCTTCAGCTTCCCACCACGCTGCTGGTCGGGGACAAGGAACTGCACCATGCAGCCCCACACCCGCGCCAGCGACAAGTCGGGCTTCCGCCCGGTCAGTAGCTTGTACGTCGTTGTCCCCGACGGCAGCGTCGACCTCTCAAGGCAGTTGCGGACCCAGATGGCCTGCCGTAGAGTGAGGTGCCACCAGTGGTGCTGCACGCCCATGTGCAGCAGCATCGTCCGCACCGACTCCACCACCGTCCGCATCTCTCTTTCTGCCATGCCGTTCTGCTGCGGGGTGTACGGGCAGGTCAGGTCGTGGACGATCCCCTGTCCGTCCACGAAGTCTGTGAACTTCTTCCCGAGGAACTCCCCTCCCCGATCGGAGCGAAGCATCAGCACCGACTTCTTTGTCTGCCTTTCCACCAACACTAGCCACTTCTGGAACTCCGGCTGCACATCCGACTTCCTGGCGACCGGCCTCACCCACACGTAGCGGGTCTTGCGGTCCTTGAGAAGCAAGAAGTACAAGCTGCCGTCCTTGGCAGCCACGCGGAACGGCCCGCACAGGTCGATGTGCACGACGGCCAGCAAGTCGTCGGCGTCGGAGCCTTGGTCAGGGAAGGAGTGTCGCGCCAACTTCCCACCGACGCACGAGACACACGGTGAGTCGGCGCCCGTCGCCGACTTCATGTCCAGCCCAATGGCTACCTCGTTCTTCGCCGAGCTCCGTATGGTATCCATGCCGACGTGCGCAAGCCTAGCATGCATCCTGTCCGGCGTCGACTTCGTCTTCGAGACGATCGCCCGTAGGGCCACAACCTCCGGTGTGGGCGACGTCGACCTCGTTGAGCAGGGACGCAGGTCGGTGCAGAGGACACGCCCGGAGTACGTCGCCCGACCGAGCACCTCTCCCGCTGCCGAGACGAGCAACATCCCGTCGCCGTCCTCCTCCAGCTTCACACCGTGCTCCTTCAGCTGGCCGGACGATAGCAGGTTTGCCCGCACAGCCGGGATGTACAGCACGTCGGGGATGAGCACCTGCTTCCCGGCCTCCTCTTGCAGGGCGACGGTGCCGCGGCCTTGGACGTCCTGTAGGGCCCCATTGAAGCCGCGCACGTGCTTGATGGAGCCGCTCAGCTGCAGGTCGATGAAGACCTCCTTCGTCCCCATCAGGTGGTGGGAGCAGCCGCTGTCGAGCAGGACCACCGCCGGGTTCGCCTGCACATCTGCTGCCACCGCCTGGAAGTCCTCTCCGGCCTCCGGCACCAGAGAGACGGTCGGCTCCACGACGCCGACCAGCAAGCATGACGCCGTCTCGTCGTCTCGCCCCTTGCCGCCTGCAGAGGAGTCGGCGTCCTTTGCCGAAGTCGACGTGGTCGACTTCTTCTCCTTGCGCGGCTTGTTTTCTTCTTGACAAGGGCACGACTACCAGATCTCCCGCGACCTCCCTTGGCGTCGTCGTCGTCGGAGTCACTACGGTCGGGGCACTCGAAGGAGAGGTGGTCGGGGTCGCCGTACAGCCAGCACTCCCGACGTCGACTTCCTCCTCCTCGACGGCTCTCCTTGGTCGACCTCTTCTTGTCTTCCTCCTTGGCCGACTTCCAGCCATTGCTACCACCGCCGCCAGACTGTCCGCGCTGCCCCGGTCGGCCTCCTTGCTTTGCCGGGGCGACGAAGTTCGCCTGCGCCAAGAGCTCCTGTGACCGCTCTGCCTCCTGCATCGCCTCGTCTTGCAGGATGTACGAGGTCAAGTTGTCCTCGTTGAGCGTCGACCTCGTGCTCGGCGCCATGGACAGCCGCTTCAGCAGGTTGTAGCTGCTTGAGATTCCCTGCATGACGTGGGTGACATACGACGTCGTCGAGTACTGCGCACCAGCCATCCTGATGGTGGCGAGAGTTCGCCGGGCTCGGTTGCAGTAGTCGGTCGCCGTCTCCTTGTCGCCCATACGCAGGTGCGTCAGCTGTCCCTCCAGCTGGGCGATGAACAAGTCGTCGGTGACTTGGTAAGTCGACTCAATGAAGTGCCATGCCCGGTGGCCGGTGTCGAGGTACTCTCGGCACCACTTCAAGGCGATCTGCACGCCCGGCGAGCAGCACCGCGAGAGGACCGTGAAGGTCAACAGCTGCACGGCGCGAAACTCCGCCCGCAAGTCATTGTGGTGCTCATCCGGCGTCGCCACGGTCCCTCGGGCGAAGCCGATCAGCCCGGCCATCTCCAGCTGGGGCTCGATGGCTTCCTTCCAGGTGAGTATGTCGGGTCGACCAACAAGTGGCGGGGTGACCAGGATCCGGTCCGGCGTAAACTTGAAGTAGCCGTAGCTCAGAGCAATCCCACCCGCCGTCACCTGGGTCGCCGACATCGGCGACAATCCGCTTCGTCGTCCTCCGACGTCGCCCTGCGAGGAGCATGCAGCCGCCGGCGACTGCACCCCTCGCGCCTGAATGCCGCCGACTTCATCGGCGTGTATCACACCTCTCTACCTCGACGTGCCTCCCGCACTGCTGCCGACTTGGCCACCTCCGGTGTGGACACCCACGTCGACGCCGCCTTCGTTGGTCACCGGTCGAGGAGAGGCTGGTCGAGAGGGGGACACTCCGTCGCCCAGATGGTGCGGATTCCAGCCTCGATGACCGCCCAGGGTATTGCCCCATACTCCTGGGCCTCATGGCGTCTCCTCGCATCCTCCAGCCGTCCCTCCAGCGTGTCCATCACCTTGGCGTCACCTACACTCACGTTAGGGACCTGTATGGCTGCCGGTCTACGAGAAACTTAGGTATGTGACCTCTACGTCGACCTGACTGAAAGGTAAGTCGTGTGCCGTCCACGCTCACCGCACCATGAGGAGATAACTAGTAGAACGGGAGCTAGACTACGGGCTAGGCACGGGTGCTCGTGTGATCTCTGCGTTCGTTGATCCTTAGTCGTTTTCCTAGTGCACACACTGCTTGCTAGTTCACGGGGCAAATTGGCAAGAGTTTCACTAGAGAAAGTTGACAATAATTGTACAATGAAGTTGGCATGGCAAGACTACATCAGAGCTAGCATTCAGGTCGGTCGACTGCCAGCACAGCTCGGCCGACCGCATTCCAGCACGACACCGTCGACCGCGCTCCAGCAGTGCAAAGTCGACGGCGTGCCAACGTTGCAGGTTGACGGGGTTGCGAGCGTTGCTCCCGCAGAACAGCAACGCACCCACTTCGCAGGAGCTCGCAGACGATTGGCGGGCTTAGCCTCGTCATCTGCACAACGCACACACCAAGTCAACCTGGCGCTGATGACTGCTTCTGATCAGCCACGTCGACCTCGGGATACCACCACCGAGGTCGGGCTCGCCAACTTCGCCTGGGCGACCGTCGCACTCCTACGCAGAACCTCGTCACCCAGGTAACCTGGTCGACCGGGCAACCACGTCGACCAGCTGCTCCCGTACGTGCCCGTCGACCTCCCAAGTCGATGGCCACCTCCAAGTCGTCCTCACCAGGTCGACCACACCTCTAGTCGACCAGCTCCACGTCGACCAACAGTCCTGGTCGACCAGCAGTCCTGGTCGACCAGCTTCATGTCGACCAGCGCAGTTGTCGGCCGACCACCCAAGTCGGCTACCCGAAGTCGCCGTCACGAAGTTGACGCCTAGCTACTCGACGCCCAACTGCTCGGCGTCCTGAGTCGAGGTCGACGTCGGCCCCTCCTTGGTCGACCAGCTGGCCTGGTTGACCAACCACCAGGCCGACCAGCAGTCTGTCAGCCAACCACCGAAGTCGGCTTCCCCAGGTTGACGTCCTCCGCAGGTCGACTTCCCAAGTCGACTTCCCGGAAGTTGGTGCCACCCTGAAGTCGGCGCCCGTGTAGTGGCCCCAGTGCAGGTCGACCTCCTCGTCAACCAGCTCGCCCACTGCTACAGGTCGGCTGCTCCCCTCACACCCGACCACGAAGTCGGCTCCGCCCAAGCGAGGACGGGGCCAACACACAACTCCTGTTGACAGTCGCTCCAAGCACGAACTGTCCAATCGTAAGTTGACAGTCGCTCCAAGTAGGACCCGCCTGTACTGTCGGAGACGGCACAGTCGCCGCCGCAGGCGGAGGGGCGGGAGCATCCGGAGGCGACGCGCGAGCCGACTGAACCTCCGCCGAACTCAGGCCGGCGCTGGTGGCTGGAGGCGGCTGGTACGTCGGGACCGCACAAGCAGCAGCAGAAGGCGCCACGGCAGGCGCGACCAGTGGCGGCGAGGAAGCGCCTCCAACAGCAGCAGACGCCGCCGCAACCCCAAGCACGGGCGCGGACGCCCCCACAGGGGCAGGTGGAACCACCGGCACAGGCGCAGGAGAATGCACAGGATCAGACGCCGCAACAGGCTCAGGGACAAGGGCAGGATCAGACGCCGGGGCGAGCGCGGGAGCAGGTGACGAGCCCGGCGCATGACAAGGCGCCACACCAGGCGCCGACAACGACGGCCCGGCGGGAGCAAGCAGCGCAGCAGGCGCGGGGACGAGGCCAGCCTGAGTCACGGATGACGGTGCGGGAAGAGGAGACATCTCCACAGGCGCAGGCGCCGGGGACGATAAGGCAGGAAGGGCAACTGCAGCCGACGCCACGACAAAGGGCCGCGGCGAGTACGAGTAATAATCGTCGCCAATCGACACGGGCATCGCGGGGCGGACGAGGCGGCGGACGGGGAGGAGTGACAGGAAGGGGAGGCGGACCGGAGAATGGCTTCTAGAGGGAAGCTCGCCGCGCCTTAACTCGAAGAGTGGAGGATGATGAGGCTGAGGAAGAGGGAAGAGACCCTACCTTTGTAGCTGAGGTGGTGGAAGAATCCACCACGGAAGAATCGGGAGGGTTAGAGGAGGAGGAACGGGAAGGCAGACGCCGGGGAAATGCAGCACCAGGCCGAGCCGCCCCAACCCCAGCTGCAGCAGGTGGCGAATCGAACCAGCCAGGACCGGACATCACCGCATCAGAGACCCGACAATTCTCGCCTGAACAGTTGGCCAAAGACTTAGTGCGGTTCGGCGAAGTGGAAAATTGGGACCTGTCCCCCCTACGCGACAGTCGTCAGCCCCCACTGTCGCGTAAACTCCCCGCTGACATTCGCCCACTTTTCGCGACTGCCCTCCTGACACCACTCCTCCACCTCGCGCGAAACCCAGCGTCTGTCGCAGGTTGGTGCCTGTTACTCTTTATCCCGCGTCTCACCCTTCGCCTCCCGTCGACCGAGAAGCCCGATTGGCCGGCAGTCAAGACAAGCAGGGGCCACACTGACAGCAACACTGGACACCCCCGCCGCAGCTGATCACAGCCCCACCGAACTGCAGCGGTGGATCAGGGACTGCAGGGACAGCCTCTCGCAGGAGGCGAGGGATCTTATCTCGGCAGAGCAGACAAAACCCAAGGGCCAGCTGCAACACCGCCTGGCACTCCTAGTTCAAGGGAGCCGGAGTGCCGCCCAGATCACAGCATCCAGGCAGATGGAGCTGAACCCCCGGCTGGGCCACACCCAGCGCCTCATGTCCCTCACGGGCTATGGGGCAGGGGACTGGCTCATGGCAATCCCTTACATACCTTCACTGCGCCTGTACCCCTGCCACTTCACGTTCGCCCTCCAGTTCAGGCTAGGCATGCCACTCTCTGTACCAGACTGCTGTGATTGCAACAAACGAGTCCCCATCCTGGACAAGAGGTTGCCGAACCACTTGCTCCGGTGCGGCACTGGGCACGGCCGGACCAACACCCACGACGAGCTGCGGGACGAATGCATCCGCATGGCGCAGGACGCGGGGTTCGCCGTGCACAAGGAGTGCACTGCCTTCAGCCCGGTGGATAACAATAGGCCGACCTGGCCTTCCGGGATGGGAGCTCGGGAGCGGTGTGGCTGGCTGACGTCACGATAACAGATCCCATCAGCAAGCGGGACGAGACTGCAAGGAAGGGGAGGGGCTGGGCAGCACGGGAAGCAGCAGACAAAAAGATTGACCTCTACCACGGCAGGTCAGAGTTTGCGGGGTTTTTCCCCTTGGCGGTTGAGACCTACGGCTGCCCCTGCGACGAGGTACCCACCTTCCTGAAGTTGCTGGCGGACAAAGCTGCACGGAGAATCTTCAACGCGGACCCATCTACCTACCAGGCCGCAAAGATGCTCCACCAATTCCGCCAACGCTGGTCCATTGCCCTCCAAAGAGCCCAAGCAGTGAGCTTCCTTACAAAGCTGAATCTGGCAGCCAGAGCAGAGAACCCCCCATTGGGGGGACCGGAGGGGGAGATGAACCCCGGGGACTGCTTCACGACCCTAGAGGCACCTTAGGCATAAGGGGGGGGGGGGGGGGTGGGGTGGGAGGTAGGGGTGTGTGGCTGCTTGCTTGCATGTGTGGTTGCTCCATAGGTTTTGTATGCTTGTCCTTACGCTAGCTGACACCTCCCTTAGGTTCTGCATGTCTGTACCAGCCCCTGTTATCAATGCAAAGGACCGTTTGAGAGAGAGCGAGAGAGAGAGAGAGAGGGAGAGAGAGAGAGAGAGAGAGAGAGAGAGAGAGTGAGAGAGAGAGAGAGAGAGAGAGAGAGAGAGAGAGAGAGAGAGAGAGAGAGAGAGAGGCTAGGCCAATCGCAATTGGCGAATGCCTAACGAGGCTGGCAGCCAAGGCTGCCCTGTTAATCATGGGAGAACCAGTCCGCGAATTTTTTCTACCGCTACAGTACGGAGTGGCAGTACCAGGTGGAGCAGAGGCAGTGATCCATGCAGCCAGGGCTTTTTCGGATGCCCGCCCGGACAGCCTGGTACTGCAAGCCGACATTTCAAACGCGTTCAACAGCATTTCGCGGGCCGCCATCGCCGACGCGTTACACGAACCCACCCTCTCGCCACTGCTGCCGCTCGTGAAACTGACATATGATAACCCGTCGCAACTGCTACTGGACTCCAATTTCAACAGCGCACCACTAACAAGTGAACGCGGCGTGCGCCAGGGAGACCCACTTGGGCCACTACTATTTGCAGCAGGGATACACGCCACACTTCGAGAAACGGCCGAGGCACACCCTGACGTGCTGCGCTTGGCATATGCGGACGATGTCACCTTCTTGGGTGACACAGCCCGCACTGTAGCTGCATTCACATACTTCACGGCTAAGTTGGCGCACTTGGGCCTCGAGCATAACCCTCAAAAGTGTGCTGCCTGGAGCTCAAGCGCAGTCGACACAGCCTGCCTTCCGCCAGGAGTGCCGTTCACTAAGGACGGCGTGCAGCTACTGGGTAGTTTTGTGGGGCCGGATAGCGGTGCCGCTCAGTTCCTGGCGGGACAACTCGCCGAGATGTCAAAACCGCTACCCCTCCTCGAGCGAGCAGACCCCCAGGTAGCAGCACTGCTACTCACGAGATGCATTTCGCGACGAGTTGCATACCTCACCAGGACGACACCTCCCTATCTCCTCCCCCGTGATAGATGGAGCCAATGGGGAAGGGATCTGCTCGCCACGCTCCTCACTTCGTGCGATATCAGAGTTCCGACTTGTCGAACCGAACAATTACGGGTTTGGGAACAGGCATCGCTGCCGCCATCGTTAGGAGGACTGGGCATCACGGACCCCCTAGTTGAGGGGATTTACGGTTTCACAGCCAGCTTTACCCAGGCGGCACTCTATCTAAGCTGCCTACCGCTGGAAGAGAATAACGCTCTCACTCTGGCACGGCACCATATGCTACTGCCGCGGGTCGACAACACACCGTTACACACATGGCTGACCGAGTGCGAGGAGGCGCTGCCACTAGATGCGCGGGAGATACTGGAGAAGGAGCGCCTTGAGCGTTCGGACATTCGGCTCCAACACGTGCTAGGGCTCAAGGTCCACAGTAGCAGATACGCAAAGCAGGTGCAGGCAACGAGGCGCATGAAGCCGAATCCGCTTGCAGGTCACACACAGCGTTTGTTTTCTCTCACTGGCTACGGCACAGGCGATTGGCTCACAGCGATTCCCGTCGCCCCCACAAGCCGAAGCGCTGAAGGACCTGCTGCACCATGTGTGACTGAGTCAGGGTAATGGTGCGCTGTGCTCTGTCCCGAGTGATCTGCAAGCCAAGGTAGCTGCGCAGTTCACCCAGGTCTGTGCACGTGTGTCTCTTTTGCAACTCGGACTTCAAGTGGGCGAGTCCAGCAGTGTCAGCTGTGGCAAAGACCAAGTCGTCGACGTACACGAGGATGTAGAACGGCGGCAAAGAGGTGTCGGTGCGTAGAAACAGCGACGGGTCAGCAGTAGAAGGAGCAAACCCAAGAGCCGCAAGTGTAGTCCTCAGTGTGTCGTGCCACTCACGAGGCGCCTGGCGGAGACCGTAGACTGGCCGCCGGAGGCTCCACTGGGTACCAGGAGGAAACGACCCAGTGAAGCCAGGTGGGCGGCGCAGCCAGATCTCCTCGTGCAGGCTGCCCTGCAGGAAAGCAGTGCTGAAGTCAAGAGAGTGAAGCTCGTAGTCGCGCTGAGCGGCTATGTGCACCAGCACCCAAAGAGTGGTCATCTTCGGGGTGGGAGAGAAGGTCTGAAAGTAGTCAACTCCCTGCCGCTGACTGAAGCCTCGAGCCACGTAACGTGCCTTGAAGACAGGTGGAGAACCCGGCGGCCGCTTCACCCTGAAAATCCACATGCCACTGACGATGTTCGCCCCAGGTGGGGGAACCTCGTCGACGTAGGTGCCTGTGGACTTCCAGGAAGCCATCTCTGCGTCTATGGCTGCCTGCCATTGAGAAGAGTAGGGACCCTCAACCGCCTCTGCGTAAGAGCGCGGAGTCGGGATGTCTGGTGCATCCGGGTCTCCCTCAGGGGCAAGCAGCATGGACACGAGATAAGGTGAAGCAGCGGCAAAACACTGGAACTCCTCCTGCTTGTCCTCAAGGACGTCCGTGCCAAGGGCACACTCACCCCCGACGGACGGAGGACAGACAGACTCAGACTCAGCAACAAGACTAGCAGCATAGTCTAGACGACAGCGAGCAGCGAAGTTGACAAGCTCAGCAACTAAGGCAGACGCAGCAGTGGACTCAAAGGAAGGGTCAGTGACAACAGTAGCAAGGAGACGCGTGACAGTAGGACTGGCAGCACGAAGGGAGTCCGACTCCGTGTCAGAAAGAGCAGGAAGAGAGGACTCTGGAGGAGACGGCAAAGGGACACGCAACGGAGCAGTGGAAGGACGCAGAGACATCCGGTGCGTACCAGGGACAGGAGGAGGACGCTGACGCGAACCACGACCACTAGTGCGAGCAGCACGGACAGGCGACGCAGGACGAGACGCAGGCTCACGACGCTCAGCAAGACCTCCAGTAGGACCTGTGTAGGGAGAAGGAGCAGGCAGAGGGGAGGCGGGCTGTAACTGTGACTCGGACAGGACAGGCGGTGGACACTCAAGAACCTGCTCAAGGAGTGGAACGAAGTACGGCCGCGGCCGTGCAGCGCCCCCAGAGCCAGCAGGAACAGCACCAGCACCCCTAACTGCAGCACCAGCCCCGGTAGCACCCCCAGCTACAGCAGCGCCAGCAGCTCCAGCACCAGCACCTTGAACGGCAGCACCAGCTCCAGTAGCACCCCCAGCTCCAGCCGCGCCAGTAGCACCAGCTCCAGCAGCGCCAACACCAGCACCCTCAGAAGCACCAGCACCACCAGCACCTCC